GCCCTCAATAATGTAAAAACTGAAATGATCACCTCCATGTAGAGGTTTAACAATGTTTTCTTCAAATTTCGAACATTCTAACATTATTTTGAAGACTAGGTGTTAGGCTCTTTTGATCTAAGCCTAATTTTTCAGCCACAATACACCTTCAAAATCCCTTAGGCTCATTTCTATAACACCACAACCGTTTGCTAAATGAAGCCATATTTTTTTCACCTTTATTTCCACCAACCCAAGGCCCCTTCAATTCATAGTAATTATAGATAGATTTCCAGCTAATATGATGCAATCGGCGTACCAAATTTGACCCTCTTCATGGAGACCTTTTCTGAATTTTTTCAATTTCACACTTGACTTTTTTCAACATCAAGAATAAAGGCAAACTACTTAAAACTGACCTTAGCAAAGTTAGACTAACACCCATAGACAAAGTCTTGGCCTTCCACGAGGAGATATTGTCTTTTAATCTCTAAATAACAAGTTGCCAAAAGCTGGTGGAATGCAATGCAACCCTAAAAGGGTGCTCGAGGTAAATAGTAGGTAGGTTGTCTACTCTGCACTCAATCAAATTAGCCCACTGGTTAACCAAGCTTTATTGGACTCCCACACCATAAATATAGCTCTTATTGAAATTTATTTTAAGTTCAGAGATAGCTCACAAACATTTAATTAGGGGCGGAGGGTACAGTACTTATGGGGGGGGGGGGGGGGGGGGGGCTACAACTCCCTCAAAATTTTTGAAATTATTTACTTATTAAATATTTTTTAATGACTTTAGAGAGTAGTATATTTATGGGGGTTGTGGCCACCACAAAATTTTTGAAATTATTTATTTGTTATATATTTTTAATGGCCCCTCAAAATAAATTTTTTATTTAATAATTAATATAAATAAAAATAATAAAATGATCTTGTAACCCCTACTCAATTTTATCTTAATTCTTAAGTTTGCACGATATATCTTGGGTAGAGGTCGATCTCATCAACCAACTGTAATCGTGGAGCATCATTATTGAGTTGGTGTATTCTTATTGGCAATGGATTCCTCGTTACAAGAATTGAATTTGAGATTCAGTGAGCAAATTGTGAAACGTTAACTTTAATCACTACTTTGAATCCTAATAACAATTATAAATCATTCAACATTGATGATATCTGCAAGTTAGTAAGGAGTTTTCATTTTTAGGATTTCAGAAAGACTTCTTTTGAGGTTACAATTAAGGCATTACGAGCTTGATATATCTCATCACTAAGGTTTTAAAGATATTTAGACACTTTCTTAATTGTGCTAGAGATTACCAGAAAGAGGAAAGTCAAGTCTTGATTTTACTTTTTTGGATTTTATAGCAACTATAGAGAAACCTTTCAGTAATGAAAATTGTGAAAACAAGATTCCAGAACAAATTAGATGATAAGTTTTTTGTAGATAATTTAATTACTTATATTGAGAAAGACTTTGCTAGCCTTTTCAGTATAAAGTCAATAATTGATAAATTTGAATCTAAGAAACATGGTCAAGCTAAACTTTCTTCAAAAACTACTATAAGTCTTTCTTTTTTATTCTTTTTTATTTACATATTATATAAAATTATTATGTATTATGAATTTTTTTTATTGTTGATTAAGTTTAACATATTAATTTTAAAAGTTTTTAACCTTTATTCCTCTTTGTCTTTGATCCTTGAACAAAAATTGATTAGTTTTGTCCTTGACATTAATATTGGAGGTGGGATACATACACTCCAGCCAAGACAACGTTTAATATTTATAAGATAATCAGGGTCTAAGTATCTTTGTTTATGAAACTACAAACTTGGATGATAAATTAGAATGCATAAAATGAGAAATTTTTTTTTGGTAAACCAAAAATTTTATTAAAGTATCGTGCATAATAGAGAAATCAGATTACTTGAACACTAATTCTGCAACCCCAAGTGGCCGTCACAAAAAGATTCAGAGCAAAACAAAAATAATCTGATACAAACACTAGTAACAACTCAACAAAACACCTAAATCATAAGTTAAGAAACAGACAATCCCTAAAATAAAATAAATAAATGACACAGCAGAAAGACACAGTTAAGATCCAGCAGCACTAAAAAGATCACCATGTCAAAATTAGGCCACAACACAAACATGTTCAACCGATCAACATCAATTTTTCAAAGGAGAAATTATTTGACAAATATATGTATAAATTAAAATTCAAGCAACGTTAAGGGAAAGAGCAAGAACGTTGGAGCGGGTGATGCCAAAATATGTTACGTAAAGGTTAAGATTGCTGAATTAATATGCACGTTTTCTGTTGCTGTCATCTCCTCTGGCACTCCCAGGACATTTTCAGCTTTGGAAAGCAAGCAGGCCGACTATGATAAAAAAACAGCTGCCCTACATGTACTAGCGATTGCAAGCGGATAATGTCACGCGTGTTGGCCTTCGTCCATATCTGCGTGTACATGGCGAGGTGTTTGCGCGCGTGAGATATGCGGATTCGCATTCGGCACTGACAGTTGAAGGTGCAGTTTACTTTCCGTGCTGCTGCGCATCTTTTGTATTATTGACGCAGGCAGCACGCATTTTTTCCATCGACTTGGCTTTTCTTTTTTCTTCTTCTTCTAGGGTTTGGCGCAGTCGCTTTCGCTGCGAATAGAAGAGTAATAACTGCATCATCAGAAGAGAAAGAGACGTAACACAGAAAAATAAAGAAGGAAAGGAAACCAAAGAGTTGGATTAGTTGTGCCTCTTAAATTAGCAACCCCTAAGATCTTTCCCATGCTATGTGCTTTGGATGATTCGTTTCATCTATATATATGTTATTATTATATTCCATGTTGCTGTGTACGCACTCAAATCCACTCCATTATTCCTCTTCCAATAGGCCATGAGAATATGAATCTCTATCTCTCTCTTAATATTCAATAACCGGGACATGATGATGATAGTGATAGTAAGCTAAAACTACAAGAGGGGTTTTCAGTGTTTTAAGGTCTCTTCCTTTCTGCCATTTCTGCCTTCTGTTTTGTTTGTTTTGGTAGCCAGGCCTACTTCATTAGAGTTAATTTTCAGCCAGGCTTTTTCTTTCTTTCTTTCTTTCTTCGTTTTCTTACATAGATCACCACTCACCAGGCACCACAGAAAGTCCAACTCAAACCAGATAAGGCTTTAGTCAGGCAGCAAACAGGAATGACAAAATTTCCCAATTAATTATATGAGGCACAACTGACACAAAACCAGTAAAAATTTTCAACCAAGTGGCAAACCATTTGTAAAGATATTTTTGGCTTTCAGCCCCTGACTAGTTAGTACAATTTTACATCATGTCTAAATAAACCAACTGATCTGACTTTTAAGTAAAAGGATGCGCCCCTTATTGCTAGTCTACTTTTGTGAAGTCATTAAACTCATTAAAATTTGATGCCAGGATTGGAGGCATCTATCAAGCAGTACTCAAGGTTATATCAATACAAGCTCGTCGATAGGGGCAAACAAAAATAGAGTACATTAATCAGATCAGGATACGGTTTTTGTTGGGTTAGTTCTATATGTGATCATTAATAGAAAACTTACCGCACTCTGAAGATTTATATAAGAAAATGGAAGGAAAAAATGTAGAATCTATTTGCTCACAGTTCCTCTACCACTTTAATTTGCGCTAGTACATCGATAAAATAGCTCAGTACAAATAATTATATCGCATATGCACTAGCTATTGCCCGGGCTTAATTTTTTTTAGTACAAATTGGCCGGGGTTAATAATTTGCAACGACCTTCAATTTCTATACTGATCTGGCAGCAGTATGAAGAATACTTGTAGCTGTCTGATTTGCTGCATCATAGGGATTATATTTAGCTGGGATTTTCATGATTAGCATAATAAGTTTCTGATCAGAGTGGAATGACTATTGTGTCAGTTGTGGTTTTCTTTTTTAATTAATTGTTTCATTTTGAATTAATGTGTGCTTCAGTCAGAGGCTTATGCAATCAATTTACTTCCAGGTTTAACATTTTTAAATAATTTAGATGCATTCAATCGAGGAGTTGAGGGCTATTTAATATTCAACAGCATTGCTCTACGCAATCAAAGTTACCATCAACAGTGGTTTTGCAAAGACCGTCGAAGTAGTTGCTGTTAACAGATTGATCAATCTAGGAGATAAAGCTAGCTGAAAGTTGTCCTTTAAAGGAAACCTAATTATCCAAAAAGAAAATTTTATTAAAGCTATAGCTATGCTCTGTACTTGTCTCAAGTACTAACCATATATCTTAGACAGGTTTAGCCGTTTAGCAGGTTAGGTACTTCACTTTAGATGATAGGTAGCACATAAAAGCCAACCTAGCTTAGTATGTATTATTTGACCAATCTGAGGGCAGCGTAATTCAATTATAATTAACTGTTACGCACATAGCTTTCTTGAGAAGAAGAAAAGTTACTTGTAATTAGTTATGTTTTAGAGGATTTAATGTGCTAGGTCTCAAAATTACTAGCATTCAATGAACTAAGACAATTATTCACTTTGGTTCATAAGTTTAACTTGGTTCCTTCAAGTTTGTACATTTTGATAACAAGATGAATCCTGAAAGCATTTGAAAAGAAGACTAAATAATATTTCTAAAGTGATTATGCTCGTGATTCGAGCACTGGCATCAGATGCCTTATCCCTTCTATTTTGGAGAAACACTAAACTTCAACTCATTGTGAGGAGATTAATGGCTGTCTGAAAGACATGCAACAGTGTCTGTCTGAGATTTGGGACCAATTTAATCTGATAATTATGGAGGTACCTTGAAAGGAAATCAGAGCACAGTACGTAAACCCTTTCTCGTGATGCCCACCATTTTTTTTTTCTGCAAGAAAGGGATAACTCAAGAAAAATTTCTATTTATAAATGCAAAGTCTGATTACAACCTGAAAATAGGGACACAAGAAATCATTAAGTACTTTCAACAAACGTTTATACATGTGAAATAACGAGGCATTGTCCATAGGGTTCATTGTTTTTTATCCACTTCTCTTTAATAAAATTGAAAAGCTTGAAGCCCTAGTAAAAGAAATATTGGCTTTGCTTCTTCACTTGAGAAATAGTAGAAGGGTCATTTTGCTGTCTAGATTCTATATGTATTGCCAATGAACATTGAATTTTACCTGCAAAGCTGAGGATTGCGGCAGGTTTTAGAGTTCATAGGGTTCATCAAAATTGTTAGGTTTTTTCTTGTCTCGATAGGATAGGGTATAAAAAGTTGAGTTCAGCTTTTGAACTGGTGCAACTGCAACTACACTGATCTATTAGATTTAGAGCTTCTTTAATCTTGGTGGAAGATTCCCATTTCCGAGATTCTTAAGGTTACTCAAACAAAAAGGTTGCAGTCTTATCTCTCTCTCTTCCTTTCCCCCTCACTCGCCTCGCACAAACATAAATTCACATACACATTCTGGAGCCTTTACGTTATCATGTTATTGGATGTTGTTTCTTTTTTTTTCTTTTGATCGCCTTTTCTTTTTCTTTTTCTGGGTAAATGTTTGAACCCCTTTTCCCTTATATGTAGATCGAGAGCAGAGAATGAAGAAAAGTGGCATTATCTCAATTGCTGGTGTTATTTTTCACTACTATTGGAAGCATTTTGGTGTGCTAGCAGTTACACATGCAATTTCTCAAAACGAAGATACAACTTTATCTCTTTCTTGTTAGAGGCCGCATGTAAATGCTGGTGCATCAATCTTTTGGGCTTCCTTATTACAAGGCCGTACTCTTGAAGTAAAGCTTAGAGGCAGGTATGCGATGAACCCAGAGTTCTTCATTTCGAAAAATTTTCATCTCGATTCCAAAGGGAAAGCACTGTTTTTCAGGTTTTTCTCGTCGTCTTTTAAACTCCATATTCCATGAGATGTTGTCTAGATAGGTGGGAGGAGCGCCCAGCTCTGGTTGACAAATGCCTTTGATTATAAAATTTCAAAGTAGGCATATCATATCTACAGTGATGAAATATACTTTTAAATGTTGTCTCCTGAACTTAAAAACACGTTTTCTAATGAGAAAAAGAAATCATGAAATCATTTGCAAACTGAAGTTGAAAGGTGAAGAAGTGCACAGACCTTATAGTTTATTGTATTAAAATAGAAGTTATATGAATCACTAAAGTTATAAAGTCCAAGTTGTCTCGTGCAAACTCAATGCTTCCCTAGATGGGTGTGGTCCTTGTTTTTACTCACTGTAAATGCTTTAAAGAAGCTATATATATGTTGGTCCCTCCTCTACAACGTAGCTAAGTTATCTATAATGTAATCCTGCTAACCTAACTCCACCATGCATACACCACAAATCTAATAACTTTTCCTTCCATATGAAACTAATTCCACTTACAATTCCATTTCCCCAACATGAAAGTATAGCTCATTAGAAGGAATAAGAGGGGGGGTGTTATTTCCTATACTACCTAGGCCAAAGACATTATGAAGATAAAATTAATCTTGTCAGGTTTGAAGTCTCGTTTGCTGAATTAAAGTTAACTTTTTAATGTAGCATTAAAATGTTGATAAAACAAAATGCATGGTAGAAAGAGAAACAACATCCAAGGGTAGGGTTCAAATAAATTTATGCTAATTCCCATTTTTATTTTTATTTTGAATTTTTTTTCAACTCGGCTAGCTACGCATGCATTATAAAGCTATTTGTAGTTGCCGATAAAGCATAAGCCCTCTTTTTTCTAGTATGAATTGAATGGTCCCCAATGTGAAGCTCACCTTCTATTCTGTGTGCTACTCAAAACTTGAATGAAAACACAAAGATGACCAACATACGAATAATTAAACTAGTGATTGTTCACTATGTGGTATGCAAAAATTTATGAAATTTACATGTTACTCTTCCCATTGACGTGTCAACGCGCGTGGATGCCACATGGACGCCGATGCGCCATACCTTTTTCTTTTTCCATTACCATGCAACATGTTGCAGTCAAATTCGGGCATCTTTTCTTTCCTACAGCTGTGATTTCTTTGCTAGGTTTATTCTCAGCAGAATTATTGTTTTAAGCTTAAGCCCTTCTATGCAGTTCCATAGCTAAGACTAAGCCGAAGAGAATAGTTAAAGTAGCTTCCCCAGTGCTGCGACCTTCTCCTACTGCTACTTCCCCTCCATCCTCAGCCTTGACAGTCAAGAACCAAATTAAACTGATCTGCTACAAGATGTGCAACATTTTCTCTTAATTTATTGTAAGTTTTATTGTGCATCCGTCCGGTTTTTAGAATACAAAGTACAGGAATAAGGTTTGTCTAACCTTTTTCTTAGAAACTGTTTCTATGATTTGATATTCATGAATCAAATTGATTTGATCAACTCATATTCCAGTTGTCTCTAGCTTCTTAAACTTCTTTTTTTTTTTTTTTTGGGGGGGGTGGGTGTGGTGGGTGTGAATTTCACTCAACTTTTAATTGAAGCAACAAGCTCTATGCAAATACAATTTCAAAGCAAACCTGATTCACTCTTCGTTTGATCTTTTACTTCACCGACTATATACATATACCTAGGTTGGAACAAACGTAGTACCTTGAAATTTTGTATATATGTCTCCGGAAGTGCAGAAACATCCTTCAATATTCATGAACAATCAAGTAGTACGGTTGTTACTGTATAGTTTTGGCTAGATTTGTACCTTATATTCATATCCTTAATTATATGAATCTTGTAGCAAATTTTTCTCAAGTTGATACAATTTAGGATAACTAGTTAAAAGGGAAAAAAAATGAAGATAGAACATTTACTGATTAACAGATTAATTTACTGCTTGTTTCAGTTGATACCTTTTGAATGATGAGAGGAGTAAGATGATCTCAAGTCCAAGGGAAAAAGATTGTCAACCAAAGCAAGAGGGAGAAACCAATGACGGCAAGTTCTCCAAGGGGTCATCAAGTTCAAGGCAGTGGTCAGGATTTAGAAATCCAAGGATTGTCAGAGTTTCGCGTTCTTTTGGAGGAAAAGATAGGCATAGCAAAGTTTGCACTATAAGGGGATTAAGGGACCGGCGGATTAGGCTTTCTGTACCTACTGCAATTCAGTTATATGATTTGCAAGATAGGCTTGGGCTTAGTAGCCTAGCAAGGTATATTGATTGGTTGTTGATGCTACTAAAACTGATATTGATAAGCTTCCACCACTTCAGATGCCACCAGGATTGGTCAGTTCCATCAGCAAATGCTATACCCCATGAATCAAATTCCTCTCAATCCTCTCTTGCTCCTTTCTTTGAGGCAAATGCTATGTTCATGAAGGACGGGGAAGACCCAAGCATAGCAGCAAAAAGATACTGGGATATGGATGCCGCATTGAGAGCAAAAAGCAAGGAAGCTGAAAGAGAAAGTACGACTGCTGCGGAGAAGGGAAAGTGGATCAAAGTAACTGAACAACATGAAAATCAAGATGGAATTGGTGATTATAATGGACAGGCTTCATCACAAAAGCATTTTCCCGTAGCCAATCATTCCTCATTACCTGGCTTGTCAAACAATGCCACGCCCTTCAATCCCTACTACCATTGGGAGCCTTCAAGCCTATCGTTATCCCAATTTGGAAATCATGGATTTCTGTCCCAAACTGAAAATTTCCTCCATGGTAACACTACTGTGCCATTGCCATCTTCACTGGCTCTTCCATCTGCGCATGCACCCCAGCTATTTTTCTGTCCACCATCAACAATGCCTTCACTTTTTCCCACATATCCTCCATATGTTACTACTACTCCAGGGGATAGTAGTGATTCCAGGCAAATCAATCATTTCCAATTACTGAGCTCAAATTCCCAACATATTCTACCAAATTCTGTCACAATGAGTCCTTCCATGAAGCCTTTCTCATTGAACGTAAATGCTGGCCTCAGTACCCATACACAAAATGATGATGAAAGTCATGCAGAAGAGGATAATATCGATTCTTGAAAGAGATCCTGGTGGCTCGTTCAAAACTTCAAATTGATGTAATTTGATTTCTTGGACTATATTCGTGGATCGGCATGAATTTGGCAGAATTATTAGAGGAATTTCATTTGTTTTGCTTAGACAGAAAGTTTCAGATCATGAAATTAAGGAAGAATTACAAATAAGGGTCATTACATTTGTTTCAATACATCAGATGGATATGTTGAATGTATCAACCAGAAGAAAGAAGAAGAAAGATTGCCTTGACAGTTGACAGTTATTTCAACTTCTTCAGGTGGGCGTAATTAATTCTACAATACAGGTAAGATGCTATAATACTTTCTGGCTATTCTAAATGCATATTCTTATTATTATTATTATTTATAGACAGGTTTTTAGTAGGTAGGTGAAGAAAGTTATTTTGTACTTTAATTTCTACAGATGGCAATATTGATTCTTGTGTGTTAACTTTCTGTATTCGTTATATATATAATACACGTTTCATAAATAGATATCTTTAGCCTGGATGCATTTTCATAACTGCCAATCACTGTCATATACATAAGGAAATGCTTTTATTTAAATGCATTAGTTCTCATGGGAAAGCCATTTTCCATTGAACTTTGATGATTAATTTTATTCAAACATATTAATAGTTTCATATATATATATATATATATATATATATATATATATATATATAAAAGCATAGAGGTAATGATCTTCTCTAGACTCTTCATGTGTCTGTGTGTATATATATATATACCGAATTAATTAAGTTAATTGTGAGTGATTGGCATTTGGTAATGGAATTATCTAACAACCATGATTAAAAGTGAATTATATAGTATAAATCTATATGTTTTTTTGAAAATTTATCGACATAGGAGTACAATGCATTGAACAACTACTAACTACTACTAATTACCACAAATACCACCTTGTGTTATTTTAGAAATATAGACAAAAATTCAAGTCTCATTTTCTTTTTCCTTACGTTTTTTAGGACATGGTGAATTACATCATCTATTTAAGTTTGAACACTTATCTTTTTACTTTTTTATACTAATTTTAATGATTATTATTATTATTATTATTATTATTACATTTCGACACTAAAAACTACTCATTTGTTGAACATGAAAGGATGTAAAATTTTAATATCAAATATATTATCCGAATTTTTTTCTACTAACATGCCAAGTCAAACCTAAAAATGTAATAATAATAATAATAATAACAATAATAATAATAATAATAAAATTATTATTATCTTTAAAAGTGTATCTTGAGCCTAACAGGGGAAGAAAGAAAGAAATTAGTAGAGTATTATCAATTAGCAACAATTGGAAAATATGTATATTACAAACCACCACAGCTTATATTCAACAATATTTTAACTCAAACCACTCCTTTAGTATGATTTACTAGTAGCAGATTATGTGCTGTATAGCAATCACATCCTACCTATATTAAATATTTACTAACTAATCAATAGAATTTTTTTAGTAGCTAGCCAAATTTCCAAAAATAGTGTTAAAAATCAAGTTAATTTGCGGTAATAATCTTAAAGTTAAAATAATTTTGTTCTCAGCTAAAGTTAAAAATAATAATAATAATAATCTGCATTTAGTTCAAAATTACATTAACACTTAAGTAAATATATAACAACTGATTATTTGTTTCAATAATAAGTGCATATATTCTCTTGAAAGAATTGAATTTACATTGCCCTCCTTAAATTGAATACACATCGGAAATGAGTTGTCTGCTAGGGTTATACTACAATGCAAGTAAAAGATAGGGTAGATTAATAGGTACCGTCACTGTTTGATAGAGATAAGCTGAGCTGAGACTCCATAGTTTAAGCTTTCGACGCCAACAAATTAATTGGCCTTAATTTGGGTTGAGTGGGAAACCGAATCTATACTGGTGTGTGGAAAATGCACGTGCGTACGTAGCCGGACTGCACAGCTAGCTGCATGAGCCAAGCTAGATTAAACAAACTACATGCTTTGTTAAACGTTATATATATGAAAATCAAATCTACAAAGTTAACATAATAGTAGAGGACTGCTAATATAGTAAAATAAAATAAGAAGCAGAAAAGCAACCCTTAATACAAACACCCGCAAGCAAATAACACAACTTTCCAACCAAACCTTTGTAGTGTATGCATGTGTTTCTTTTTCCCTGCATCTTTATGGTGTATATTTCCTTTGTAAGGAATCCACTGAACTTGACTTATACTAGCACTAATAACAATAATTCTTTCTCATCCTCCTATAAACCTTTTCTTTCATTTTCTATATGTATGAGATTACATTCTTTCTCATCCCCCGCACCTTTGTTGTATATACAATGGCGCCCTCTGAATGAATCTTTGCATTCCTTAAATCATTTTTTTTTCTTTTTTCTACTTTCGTGTTAGTTTCAGTGTCTGCATGCAAAAACAAAAAAAAAACTTCAAAAGCCTTGTTGGTTCAAGCAAATGGCTTGTTGTACCATGCTGCTTTCTTTTGGTAATAGATTGGTTTTTACTGTAATATAAAAAAATTACAAAATAAAAAAAAAAGATAAAGAAAAACCTTCTTGGTGGAAAGAAGCAAACTTCAGAGAGGTAAACGCTGAGCCTGATGTTTCTCTAGCAGTCATTTTTAGGTCACCATACCTTCCCACCAGCTAATTAGTTCAAATCTTCGCGTAATGCACAATCATTTTTTTTTTTAAATCGATAGCTATTTTTCCATTACTTATATAACTTTTCAAAAATGATCCAACGTGGTACTAGAACAGTACTGTTCTAGAAAAATAAGGGAGGCTTGTGTACCGCTCTGCAAATTTATGTTTAAACTATGTAAGTTGAAGTAGACAAGAATTACTGTGATAAGCAAATGAGAAAAGAGATTTTATGTCTATCTAATTTAAGAAAACAAAAATGAAATTTAAGATGCAGTACAATTTGTAACTAAATTTTTTTCTAATAATTTATATGATATTCTACTAATATATTTTTGGTTAAATCGAACCTAAAGCTTAGACCCATTTTTGTTAATTGTTAGTAGTTTTTTTCTTTTTGGTTGGACTTGATTCAAGCGGGTTTTTTTTTTTAACAAAAGGGTGGATAATTAAGTTTTATTACTTTTATTTAATATTTACAACATAATAACGAGACTTAAAATAAACGTTTTTCTTGATTGTCTTCCATCGATCCATATGATAAAGATTGAAGAGTGCACATAAAACAACTAATTAATGCAACCAAGATTACATTTTACAGCACTAAATCATGCCAAAAACAGTAATTGTGGGCTGGCGGAGTTGGTTTGACCTTTAGGCATGCTCTGAGTGTTCTGACACTTGAGCCAGGCTCAACAATTAATAAAAATAAATTCTCCCATCGGATTGTAATATTTTAATACATTCTGGAAAATAATAGTTTTTACTCCCATACAAACTCATACTACACATTACGTACGACATAAACTCTACCTGATATTGCATTTCGAGTTGTACGACTAGTTAATTGAAAATCATTATATTTGATCATAAATGTAATAATGCTAAACAAAATATAATTAATAATGAAAAACTCTTGCAGATACAGTTAGCGTTATTATTAAATGGAAAAGTAATTGAACTTAACTTTTGTTTATGAAAAATAATTATACACTTACATATGTATGTATATTTTATTTTTTTCATCTTTAAATTAACCTTATCTTACCTAAGATTTTGTACCCTAGTACACGACAGAGGCAGAATAGAATCCATCATAGTTTTCCATGACAACCTGTAAAGAAAGATAATTTGATTGAATTTGTCTTGTCGGTAAAAATTAAAATTCTGAATATTCTTTCTGCCGAACTCAATTCAAAGCATGTGAGTGGACTTGGAATTGAAAAAAAAAGAAGAGTTACCTCTCTTTGGTCTACAATTTGCACAAGCTCTATATATTTCACGCGGATGGAGCAATGCACGCCGACCTACAGCACGAAAGGGCCACATGTTTCAGCCTCAGTGTCAACAGCCTGCTATCAAAGGTCATTTTCTCAAAGAAAAATTGACCATCCCCACCCACTTCTCAAACCCTGGCCAGAACAAATATCAGGAGCTAGAAAACCCAAACACCCAGCAAAAACAATATATAACACAACGCTGTTGGAACTTAACTCTTCTAGTCGCTTTAAATTAACATAAATCAGCTCAGGAAAGAAAAAACACAAAACCACAACGAAGAATCAAAAGGCCTTGCTCGATCGTTGGCCACTTAATTAAGTAGAACTGCTGCATTATATAAATGTAATCCGTTTCAAAGCAGCCTTACGGTGGCGTGCTATACAGTAACTGTAGAATATAAATCTGCAATTCTTTCTGAGATGAACGGGCTGAAATTGAACAGTCTGAGTCTGATTGTCTCAAGATCCAAGAAAACATTAATAAAGGACTCTTGCAAGTTGGGATTTTATTGATTTAAAGGACCCTTCAAAGTTGGCATAAAAGAAAAAGGTTTCTCTTCCCCTATTTGTGGTCCTATTCTTGGAATTGAAATACTAAAGAATAGAGAATTGGATGTACTGTTAGAACAAAATTCATGTTCCACTCGCTTCACATAGAGCGTGAAGTTAACTTCAAGGAGGAACAACTCTTAATTTGCATAATATATAAATTACAATATAATTTTTATAAATTATTAATCTAGATTAAATAATATTTTTAGTTAGTCTTGATTTGAGATTAATGTGGTAAATTAATAATTCATTAAATTTATAAAATAATACATTTTAAAAAAATATATATAAATTTTACTTGATATGTAAATTAATAATATCTTTATATGTCAAAATTATAAATATACATGACTCAATTACGAGACTTTTGTAAAATATAACTCCAATATTACTTGTTTCTTATTGAAATTGATATTTTTTTTGGATCTCATCTATAACTTTTTTAGTGTATTCAAAAGCCCTAATATAGTATTCTCGTATTATAAGAGAAAATTATGTAATGTGATTTTTACTTTAAGTGTATCTTTGTGCTAGATAGGCTCTAGGATAGAATTATCGTTTTTAACTTCATATTCTTTGTCATTTCTAATGACATTCTCAATAATTTTCTCATCACTCAACAACTCTGAAGTTGCCTTGTTTTCTTCTAAGTGGTTCAAAAGGTACTCAACATCTATTGTATCAGATACTTCAACTCTTTGATTAAAACATGCAATTGTCGAATGCCTCCATCATCAGAATATTCATCCAAATTCTTTGAAGCCATGTTATCTATAGACCTAATTTTAAAATGTTGAAAACAAATTGTAATTGTACTTGCTTGAACATCTGTTGTCCAAACCGAGATTGCAAGATTTATTACATCTAAAACATTTATCTTCTCTAGATTTGAGGTCACAATTTCACAACTTTTCAAAAGATTTTGATAAATTAATAAATTATTAATTTATCAATTAAATAGCATCTAGATTAATTAATA